GCAGTGTTTCCACAAGATATCACCTGTCGCGATGCCAATCAGGAGTAGCAACAGATATGCCACGGTATCAGCAAGGACAGCTCCTGCTGGAGTTCCCCATCAGGCGACAGCTGTTGTCTGTAATCAGATGCACTCACGCCGTTGCGAGGTCAAAAAGATATTGACGGTAAAGAAGTGATTAAAATGGTAATGAAATGGTAGCGAATGTGGTACTGAAAAACACAGTGGGCAGGCTGGTGCGCAAGTGACCTGGCGATATTCGGTTTGCCTCTTTCCGGATCAAATCGGCCTTAAATCTTGAAAACAACTGTGTGCCTGAGACCTCCAGCTGCAAAAATACTGGCTGTGATTGCAGTTGTATTTGGACTACTTAGTGACCCTGCAGGACCCTGTGGCCCTGACGTTACACTACTTAGTGATGTAGGGCCACGAAAAATAATGTTGAGCACGTTATTAATGTTGTTAAATGTTAGGAGAGTCACAATCTGTCCGCAGTTACCTACTGGGTCGGAGCACACCAGTGTAAACAGATCTGACGTTCACAGGTCATTGCTTACGGCTGTCAATGAAGGACAAACATTCACGCGCCAGTTTAACGTCAAAATCACTGCAACCCCTTCGGGATGACGTCATGGCTCAGTGAGCTGCGTCATCCGCGTAACTTGTACTCATTTTGGTTTTGAGACTATTGTCGCGAGGAATGCCATGATAGATTTTACGGAGATTGTCACGGATAATTTACTCATATTTTCCTATGACCTCATAGAAACTGCTGGCGCTGTGCACATGTATATGGACCGTTTGCTTGCAGGTGTTTGAACCAGCTTAGAGTCAAACCAATTTAAGAGTTAAGTCACGCGATAAGTTCTAAGAAGTTATGCGTCACTAAAGGCACATACAGAGAACACCCGGGCAAGCTGTGTGAATCGATCACAGCCACCGTCGAACCAAAAATGCAGCAGTTGCAGTTGCAGTTGCAGTCGAGTATGACCTGGGAATGCGGTTTAACGCAGGTGGCAGCGACTACATCTACTTTCGTCAAATTCGGCATGGCTTGGAGCTTTTTCTTGGACAGACACTCTTCCTGGTGTCTTTGTCACAGGAGCTTTGTCCAGAATTCCCCATGCGTAGGTGGAGAATGCTGGGCGTCATACTCCTACCTGGGCGTCGCATCATTGCTGCTACATGGCATCATACAGCATCAATTTCTTGCCACGATTTTCTGTGGCACGGTCACGAATGGATCCCTTCTCTATCGTACCTCCCATGCCTCGGAGGCTCCCGCGTGACCTCTGATCACCAGAGTGGACCCTTGACCCCACCACCGCCGACCCGACCTCTGTTGGCACCCCTAACGTGCCTCCTCAGGCGGCCGGTGCTCCCTAATGAAGCCGGCAGTGTTTGCCAGGCCCGGCTTATTGTCTGTCGGCCCGCTCCCGGCAGGCACGAGCGGTCTGCAACGAGGCCATGTGGCCGGCTTCCAGTGCGGTCGTGTGACGCCGTCGGCTCTCGGTCACCGCCACTGGTGAGAGATACAGAGAGGAGGCTAGAAGAAGCGAACCATGCTGTCAGAAATAAACGTGAAATGCGTTCGATAACAGCTGGCAAAGGTCTGATCAACTAACGCTCGCAAATGGGCGGGTTCCATGCACCAGGTAGATCATCTGCCAACAAAAATCTAAAAGATGAAAACCCGTAGATATGCGTTCCCTTTGCTCAAAATGAATGTCTATGATGCAGGCCCGTGACCAGACCGAATTCCCAAGGTGTTCACCAGTGAACCAGGAGCAAGGTGGAGACTGTGTAACGCGATCCACTTTTTCCGGCTGGATCAATGCTGTCGCCATCTTAACCATTGCTACTTTGAACGAATGTCTTGCACCTCAAACAAGGGAGGGGAGGGGATACAAAGTCGGGACAACGTCGCGAGAAAAGCTTTGTGAATATCTTGCCTCTGTGAATTCTACATGGCACATGCTAGATGCGGACATAGCGATACAATAACAGGACAAAACAACGACCAGGCCAAATGATGACACGAAAAATTGGTGAAACTTCGCTTTTGGAACTACTTTTTACGGTTAACCCTCTGTGTCGGAACGTATTGGCGGTTGGATGATTCAGGAACAGTATGGATGCACCCACTTTGCAAAGATTCTGCATCTTCATAACCGTGCGTGACTTTTCCTGTTATCTCATTCCCTCTGAAACCGGAAATGAATTCATCCCTTTTGAAACCGGAAGCAAAATGGTTTCAATCGGGTGCACCTCGAGGTCAAAATCTGCAGTTTTTTTTAAAAAAATGTAGCTCAAATCGGACAAGTTTGTCTCTTAATTTGTGAAAACATAGGTGTGGATATATAAGTGCCCCCGGCGTATGCATGAGTTTTCAGCGTTCATTTCATATCAGTTTCACTGATACGCCCTGGCTGTTGACCATCAAAGTTAGTTCAAATGCCAAATTAATGCCAAATGCTCGCCGCCCGCCGGCTGGCGTCGTTTACAGTGGCTAACACCTTTTGGTTTTACGGAAGCTGCAACCGAAGTCATCGCCGTCCTTCCTTCCGCGATTGCGGGCGCGCATGTTCAAGGTTTTTGATATGATTTGTTTCGCTCATAAATTCTACATCGGAGTGAACGTTCTCAGGCAAACATGGAATGACATTGTTCGTGTTTGGGCCCATTTCTAACCGGCTTTATTCAACAATAATGAGACCCCCTATTTCGTTCCGGGCGAAGGGGCTTCTCCATTTGTCCACTAGGGGCACATTACTGTTCCTGGCTGCTGGAGCTGAGAGGCCATTCCGCCCTATTGCGGGGCGTCTTCCAGCTGCCATTCTCGCGACACGTCTGTATCATCTCCTGGCCGATCCGGAGGTCTTAGAGGGATACATCATATCGGATTGTTCCCCTTCATAACGCGGGGGCCTTCTGATCCGCGCAGTTTACCCCGAATCAACACAGGAACTCACATTGATGCAACATCCCTGATCGCCGCAGGGGGTCAAATAATTGTGACATGAACTTCAGCTCCATATGTTTCTGCATTCTTCAGAAGTATTGACGGCCTATTGAACGTAGATTGTAGATCGAAATGGGGTTCCAAATTTGCACAAACGTGGCAATTACAGAAAGACATTATGTGACATGGTTTTGAACATACGCGCTCGCAAAACTGAGCAACAGGCTCGACGACCTGGCGTTGCAGTCTCCATAAGCTGCGCGGCGTCGGCCCTGCAGCTGTGACACTAAACGATGACCTATGAGTAAACTAAACAAATGATGCATCTTTAAGAAGATAACAGGTGAACTGGGTAGATCAGCACGTATGTTTAAAATAGTACAAAAGTAAGTAAAACGCAACAAAAATCTGAAAAGTGGGGGAGTTAACATTGCCACCCCCCCCCCGCCCCACCTTAAAAGTGGGGTGGAGCATGGCTCTCTCCCTCCTCCCCCCCCCCCCCCCTGTTCCTATACCCATGAAAGCTATAATTTGCTTAATCGGATAGGAGGTTTGACATAGGAGACAGCTGCAAAAGCATCCCGTAACTACTTAAACACAGTCATAGTGGTGGCCTGAGGTCACCAGCTTTGCTATGCATTATGCACGCGTGTCATTTACTACACTACGCGACTGCGAACCAAATGGTGAGGCCTCTAAAATAGTCGGTAGCGGCATTGCGTAGATCGGACCGCACTGCCATCCCTTGGCCACCCGCTGCCCCAAATATCACCGTTGCAACCAGAATTCGCCAGTCATATTTGCTGATGATATCATACCCGTGGCTCGAATGGTAGAGAATACTAACATGTGGCCGTAGGCAGCTGCAAGGCCATGACATATATTTCTGCGGGCTACCCACCGGCCACGGCGATGATCTGAGGCTTGCCATCAAATATGAGGGCAAGAAATCCAAAACAGGGTATAGGTAGACATGGGCACCTAAAGTTACATAAGAACACTGTACATCAATCGTTTTCTTTATGGCAGTAAATGCTGTATTTAATCCTAGAACAGGTGCATCTGCACTCCCGCCCTAAAATTATTATAGGTTGCATCCAAATACTCCAGAGATGCAACACTTCCGATCCGCCAGAACCATTGCTACGATGGTGTAATCTGACTGCGATTCCTCCTGAAAACGGTCTTGTAAGGGAAGTAGGAAAAAAGAACCGGAATTTAGCCTAACCCAAACCACCCTGTCATCATATATATATATATATATATATATATATATATATATATATATATATATATATATATATCTATATCATATATCATCGCTCTCACCAATCTCCCCATGCAAACGATCATCCCACCAGCATCTGTGCCATCAGCGCGACAGGGCAGCATCTGACCGACATCTGCTGTCGTTATTGTTATTATTATATTTTGAGGGTAATACGATAAGATGCTCCAAAAATATTCCAGGTCTTATGAGCATTTATGGTGCCTGATGTCTTATAAACGTCAGTTCATAAAAAATCTTATATTGCAGTGCAAGGTACCATCGTAGACAATGGCCCAAAACAGACAACATCGTGTATTGTACGTTGAGTGGCATTCGTTTTATAGGGTTTTATAGCAATAGAGCGTTTTGTTTCGGAGAACGGAGAATTCTGGAAGTACTGCGGTAGAATTGTGTTTGATTTTCATGTCCACCGGCACGTACCACGCATGCGTCATTTATGCCGAAGTATATAAAATTGATTTGCATGTAAAAAGAAACAATAATATTTTTCAGTATCTCTTATTCAAATTGACCCGATTGTAATAGGCTAAGTTAGCAAATTACACAAAAAAATTTATTGTTAAAGACAATCATGTTTAATTTAGGCATGGTATTTTAGCAGTAGGTTCGCTCCTAAGCCGTTTGACTATTGAAAGTTTATGGAATCAAAACAAGAATAGCGGCAAAGAGCACGCGCGTTATTTCTTGTGGCGCATAGGAGGTTGCGGCTAGGTCCCAGGTGTGGTCTAGAGTACAGGGCGAGGGCGAATTTCGGGTGTTTTAACAATTGCAGGTGGTTTATTTGTGTGGTGCTAACGTTACTTACTTCAGAGGCAGCTAAAGATCCCGTGATTGTAAAGAATACGCGCCAGTTTGCACGCGTCTCGTTTTCATTAGTTAGGTACTTCTGAGGGACTGTGAACTAAAGTGCTGTGATAATGTAAGTTAATAGAATTGTCAGTTCCTGCCCAGACTCTAGCATTCATGTTGGGTCAAATATGCATGGGGTGGCAGTAACAGCACAGAACAAATGCCAGCTCATGTACATTGTAAATCTGAGTGCATAGAGTTTGCCACATGTTCAACACCAATTTCAAGACAAAAATCATGATCTTGCAAAGGAAGTTGCTGGAAAAAATATGCTTAGAGTGTGAAGCACACAAAAGTTATTTAAAAGTTCATCAAAAGTTGGCCCAGGCCTAGGTTCTGCACAACAAAGTTGAGGGCATGCCAGTGCACAAAGACCTCTGAATCCTTTAAACCCATTCCCCAACTCTGCCCAGCATCTCAGATTTGTGTGTAGTCCCTTAACTTACAAGTTTCATATGGTGGCTTGTATTGATTTGGCTAGCTCCAGCCAATTTCAGGGGTGTCCAAACAGTCTATGTGCATTGGCATTACTGGCATGCAGTTTTGGGTATGCAGTGGACAAGTTAGAGACCTCATCAGGCTTCTGGAGGTTGACACATGGCTGCTGAGAGTACACTGGCCTGACTAGTGCTCTCTGGTATTTGCCTCACATATTGGAAGCCTCATTACATGTTGTTAATTCAAAGTTTGTTAAGTGTGTGGTTTGGGGGTAGTTATGCTCTGTATGTGCTACCAGGTGGAAGCCACTTGAATGTGTGCTTGGTGTTCTATTAGGTGGGGAAGTGATCAGTTAATTTTGTGTACTGTGTGCATCTTGCCTTATCTGGTGTCCTGCCATGCCATATGGATTCAGTAATGTGTAGGTTTTTGTTGCTTATTTATTTAAATTTAACATGGCTGCCAGGTGCCACTGTGCTGGACTCACCCTGTTATGTCAGAATGCAGGAAATAAAAGTATTTTGTCAATACACATTTAATAGGTATAAGTTGTTCCTTGATAACTAATAAATGTGTTTTTGTTCTAGGTCATTGTGACTCAGTGTATGCAGTGAGACTCTTGGTGCCTTCTGCCATTTCAAACAAAACTGGTCAGTGGAAGTAAAGGCCATCATGTCGCACAACTATGTTGTGACGGCTCAGAAGCCAACAGCAGTTAATCACTGTGTTACTGGTAAGTCTGCTGGTCACAGGCGATTTCAAGGCTCTCTGTATCCTATAACTCACCACAGCCTTTTTGTATGTGTCAGTTAAGTGACATGTAATGCCCATCATTCATCAAGCATATGTTTTCATTGTATTGTAGATGGTGTCATCCCTGTGGCTCAGCTGTTGGCATGACAAACACATGGAAGGCTTGTATCTATCGAGGGCAGGCTTGCATCTCAGAAAACATGCCCTTTGTGACTTGTCAGTCCCACACAATGACAAGGCTGTTGGTTTGTAATTGAAGCAAGGATGCTGCCATTCCATTGAGAGAGACTGCAGTGCCTGGCGGTCAGGGCAGTCTTAACCACCTCCAGCTCCTAAAGAATTATCATTTTTAGGGTTGTCAATAGCAAGAGCATCCAGCATTCTAACATCACAATTTACACATTTCATGCATGTTCAGTTGTGCACATCTGTTTGTTTGATGACTATGAGACCTGAGTGTGTCAATCCTACACCCTCCATCTGTCAGGACTATGAGACTTAGGCGCGCACGCGGCCCTGATGACACAGCTCATCTCAGCCTGTTGGCGTGTGTTTCCCAGGCAACTTCACGTCATCCTCGGACCTGAACCTGATCATGGCCAAGAACAACCGACTGGAGGTGTTCATCGTGTCGCCGGAGGGCCTGCAGCCCGTGAAGGAGATCGGCATCTACGGCCTGATCGCCGTTATGAAGCTGTTCCGACCCTGCGTGAGTTGGTCTGACCTCATGCTGGCCAGCCATGGGGCTGTTTGTCGTAGGCTTTGCGGGGTTCTGGTGACATGATGGGGTCGTAAAGGCCTTGATAGGAACGAGTCATCGGAGACTGTTCTATTTTTGTAGGTCAGTGGCTGTTTTTTCGAGGATGCGCGTGCATTAACAGAAGAAGGGCTATAGGCACAGACGGTTCCTGTTTCAGCCTGCTGTACTGCTAGTGTATATATCAACACATAAAAGGCCACTGTCCCAGGCCGTGTGACAGCGAGCCTGCCGGCCGGCCGGCCGCGCGCCGCCGCCAGACGTCTAACGCGGCGGCTGTACACACGCCGCAGGACGAGGAGAAGGATCTGCTGTTCATCGTGACGCAGCACTACAACGCCATGATCCTCGAGTGTGTGGGCCGCGGCGAGTCGCTCGAGGTCGTCACCAAGGTGCACGGCAACGTGGCGGACCGCATCGGCAAGCCGGCTGAGACGGGCATCATCGGTGAGTAGGGCGGCGGCGCGCGGACAGCACCGCCGCCTTTGTGTGTATGTTGGGGGGGGGGGGGGGGGAGCGGGACCCGAGCGGCTGTCTAGCGGTGGAGGCAGGAGGTGGTCGAGTGGTGTCGCTCTGGAGACGCATGTGGTGCAGGTTTCGAGTTGTTGCTACGTTTGATTGGTGTAGCTGTCTTCGGGTGCTGGGGCACGGTGCTGTTTGGTGTGGTGGAGTGGCGTGACCGCTTCGAGGACGCGCTGCGCGAGGTTGAGTTTCGGTACCGCCGGAGTTTCCTGACGGATGCAACTGTTGTTTCGTCTGTTTGTGTGCAACTCTGGAACTGAACCGTCTTGGGCCGACCCCAAACCCTTACTCACGCACGGGTTGCTGCTGTTGAATCTGGTCGCGTTAACTTACCGCCCCGTTACTACTACTTCGCCGTGTCCCGCACCGCCATTAGACCTCAATGCCACCAGGACCTGCGTGCACTGCAGTGCAGCAGCACGTTGTGCTCGGCTTCGTACCGCCAGCAGGCGCCCGTTACCAGCGAGCCACAACCCACCACTGCACTAGCATTTATGGGGCACCGTCTGCTACCAGCGTGTCTCCACACCCAGCAGCCCCAGCGTACACCCAGTGACCCTGCGCGTGACCTTGAGCCGGGTCGCGCCCCGCCGGCAGGCATTATCGACCCGGAGGCGCGCTGCATCGCGCTGCGCCTGTACGACGGCATACTGAAGATCATCCCGCTGGAGAAGGAGAGCAGCGAGCTCAAGGCCTACAACATCCGACTGGAGGAGCTGACGGTGAGTGGGTCCGCGCCGCCGCCGCGCCGCCGCCGCGCCTGCTGCGCTGGGGCCGACGCTGCCCGGCGGGCGAAGCGTCCCGTGAGCGGAACGGAGTGGGTTGTCGGCTCGAGCGTTCCAGGCGTAGTAAGATGGCTAGATGTAAGTTTTGGAAGTAGGGGAAATGATAGCGTTTACAATTAGCACTTGATTAGTGCGCTTGGTGACGGTGCTGAGGTGGAAAGTGTCAGATCTTGACCAGCGTTTTTGACGAGGTGCTTAGTTTCTGTTCCGTCATGCTCAGCTTAGCAGCAGCGCTGGACATAAGGTTTCTACACGGGTGCCCAAATACTGGCCCGCGCTCCTCTGTGTATCACAACTCCAGGGCATCCAGTTTCCGTGCAAATACGCCAGCGCTCACACCGTTTCCGCCATGTGTCCGACAGGTGCAGGACATCGAGTTTCTGTACGGGTGCCCGAACCCGACTGTGATACTGATCCACCAGGACGTGCATGGCCGGCATGTCAAGACCCACGAGATCTCGCTCAAGGAGAAGGAGTTCATCAGGGTGAGTGGGCGCGCCAGGCGGTCGGCCGTAGTGCGCGGGTTGAGGGCCGACGGGCGCTGCCACCGCCGCCCAGGTTTTAAGGCGTAAACCGGGCACGAGCGTCTGTCGTTAAAGTGGAGGAGAGAAGGAACTCGCGCCAGCTTATGGCGATTGCAGATATCGGCGTCCAGAGCGGTGGTCGTTGCATCAAACTCTTTTGACTTGAGTCCGTATGCCAGCCAGCTGCTGTGGCTTCCTCGGCTCAGCCCACGGCCGGCGCCGGTGGGTCGCCACCCGCGCCTCGGCTGCCGCCGCTGCCTGTCCGTCACCAGCCTCCCTCCGGTCGTCAGAGCCCGTGGAAGCAGGAGAACGTGGAGCCGGAGGCGGCCATGATCGTGCCCATCCCGGGTCCGCTGTACGGCGCGCTCATCGTCGGCCAGGAGTCCATCACGTACCACAACGGCAGCACCTACATCACCGTGGCGCCGCCCATCATCAAGGTAACGTGGGCGCGAAGCGACGGGGTGAGGTACGGGTCGAGGGTCGAGGTCGAGGTCGGGTCGAGGTCAGGTCCGGGCTGAGGTCGGGGTCGAGGTCGAGGTCGAGGTCGGGTCGGGTGGGTGGGAGTCGTGGTCGGTGTCGGGGTCGGGATCGGGGTTTGCCAGAGGCTTTTGTATATCTGTGGCGTAAGAATATAGCTGGTCGCTGCTCGCGTAGCCGACATGGCGCAATTATTGTTACCTGGGTACACAATCAGCTCCGCCAAAGACGATGTCAAGTTGGTGATCTTAAATGTGCATCGGAATCGGAATGTGCTTCTGACGAAACACGCTACAATATGTTTGGTGAGAACTTCGGTGCTGTTCAACAGGCATCATGTGTTATCGAATTATTTAGATGGTGTTCCTGTTTTATGCCTACATACTACAGTATTTGTCGACTGTGTAAGCTGCCCTCTCATGACGTCCAGAGGCCACCCACCTCGAAAAGCATTATCATCCGTGACAGCACCCTGGGCCTCTGCCGTATTACGGACATTGAGCAGGACATGGTCGTCACTTTTTTACTTTGTGTTCCTGGCCGCCTGTACAAATCGCTATGTTGCCTGTCATTTCAGATCAATGGCCGCCCCTGGTGGCATATTGCGCCTTAAAATCCAAACATTCGTGTCCGTGGTGTTCACGTCCGGGACGCCTATGTACGTGCTCTGTGCCGTATCCATCTGCCTTATTTGCCTTCTTTGTATCTGCCGCACGTGCGTCACCACAGCCAGTGCCCCTGGCGTAGAGCGGCCCCAGCCGTGCGCACCCCCCAACACCAGCAGCCAGTCACCACCCGCCCGGCCCCCTGGCACCACCCCGCGCCTGACACTCCCCCTCCCCCGGCCGGCAGCAAAGCACGATGACCTGCTACGGCCGCGTGGACCCGACCGGCGGTCGTTACCTGATGGGCGACATGGCCGGCCGCCTGTTCATGGTGCTGCTGGAGCGGGAGGAGCGCGACGGCGCCGAGCGCGACATCAAGGTGGAGCTGCTCGGTGCGTGGCCGCCGCCGGCTGCCGGCCAGCAGGGGGCGTCCGTGTATGGGACGCTCCGGTCGGAGAGCGGGCAGGGATGGCGGAGAACGGGGAGAGAGAGAGAGGGGTGGCATGGCGGAGAACGGAGAGAGCGGGCGGGGGATGGCAGAGAACGGGGAGAGCGGGCGGGGGATGGTAGAGAACGAGAAGAGCGGGCGGGGATGGCAGAGAACGAGGAGAGCGGGCGGGGGATGGCGGAAAGCGGGCCGGGCCGGGCCGCTCCGGGCTGCTCAGACGTGCTGCTGTCTAGTGTCGAGCCCTCGCTGGCAGCTCGTCCGGTAGCTGTGTATGTGTTGCGCTATATGCAGCCTACAGTCGGCTGCGTGTGAGACCCGGCACCGACGGTTCGCTGTCCGGGCGGCTGTGCGCCGACAAAACGGCAGTCCTGCGCAGCGCACCTGACCGGCCCCGCCGCCGCCCGCCGCCGCAGGCGAGTGCAGCATCCCCGAGTGCATCAACTACCTGGACAACGGCGTGGTGTTCGTCGGCTCGCGGCTGGGCGACTCTCAGCTGGTGCAGCTGCGCGTGACGCCCGACGAGAGCAGCTCCTACCTGACCGTGCTCGACGCGCACACCAACCTGGCGCCCATCCTGGACATGGTGGTGGTGGACCTGGAGCGCCAGGGCCAGGGCCAGCTGGTCACCTGCTCCGGTGAGCGGCGGGGCGGCGAGGCACCGCCGTCAGTCCGTGGCTTTCCACTGGGCTCCGTCGCTAGATGGCTGCAGTGTTTTGCGAGGGACGGGTTGTGATCAGCTTGATGTAGCAAGAGGGGATGCCGCAGTCTGCTGATGAGTTCGTAGGTCGCGTTATAAACGAATTTCACTGTGCGTGGCCACAATGGCGGTGTCGGTGCAGTTCAGACTGGCGGATGGTGGCAGTTTTGCTGTATGCAGCTACTTCCTGTTACTCGACGATAAGTAGAACATGGCGTCGTGCCCGTCAAACTACGGCAGTGTGTTGGCCGATGGCCATCTTCCCGCCATAATCTGACCCGAAACCTCTTGTACGCACCGCTTGTGCCGCCGTCCGCCAGGCGCCTTCAAGGACGGCAGCCTGCGAGTCATCAGGAACGGCATCGGCATCCACGAGCTGGCCAGCATCGACCTGGCCGGCATCAAGGCCATGTGGAGTCTGCGCGTGGGCACTAGCGGCGACGACGACGGCGACGAGCTGTTCGACAACACGCTGGTCATCGCGTTCGTCGGCGAGACCCGGTAATGCGTCGGGAGGTGAATGGTTGGCCTTGGGCTGGGGCGCGGAACGTTACTGTCATTGAAGGCGAAATGGACGACGAGTTCGGGGGTCATGTGTCACATTCAGTTGTAGGCGATGCGAGTCCTAAGGGAGTGCGTCGCGGTCGTGTTTTTTTTAAGCATAGCGACTACAGTTTTGCGTGTTGATACCATGGACCTGTTAAGCCTGGCCGTTGTAAGGTCATCGGTTGCCCGCCTCCCGGGTCCCCGGGAGGTGGTCCCCGGCAGCCGAGCCGGCCCGGAGCCTGACCGGGGCGCGGCCGCCGTCTGACCCGCCCTCTGCCGGGCAGGGTTCTGAGCCTGATCGGCGAGGAAGTGGAAGAGACCGAGATCTCGGGGCTGGCTGGCGACCAGCAGACCTTCTTCTGCAGCAACGTGGACCACGGACAGATACTGCAGGTGGGCAGAGTCGGCGCACGCCGTGGCTTCCCGCGCCGGTCTGGTGGGCTAGTGTGGACCCGCACATTCCGGCCTTCGTTAGCTAAAAAGCATGCGTCGCCTTTCGGCTCCGTGTGCGCGTTTCAACGTTGATTGTGTCACCATGAACAATGTTTAAAACTGCATAAGTATATCGGCTAAGCTAAACATATTCAACATATTGAACATTCGCAGCCATCGCCATGCTGCCCGTGCAGACATAACCACCCGAAACCGTGTAAGAAGTCGTCCCACCCGCACCTCTTGAGCGGCTGTCGCAGCAGGACATACCCCAGCCGGTGCGCGTCATCCTCAGGTGACGACCACCTCTGCGCGCCTGCTGAGCGACAAATCCGGCGCGCTGCGCAGCGAGTGGCGCCCGCCGGGCGGCCGCACCATCAGCGTGGTGACGGCCAACGCCGGCCAGCTGGCGTGCGCTGTCGGCAGTGAGCTCTTCTACCTGGAGATCGCCGACGGCGAGGTCGTGCTGAAGAGGTGACCGCCTGCGCCCCCCCTCCCCCCTGCCCGGCCCCGGCGGACAGGGGATGGGGAACTGGACGGCACTGGGTGTGGAGCGGGTCGTTCGTTGGGAGTGTGGGCTTTTTTCGCCATGAATGTTTCGGAGGCTCGCGGTGTCGCTACGAAACGGACCAGCTGCGTGTATGGCGTTCTGTTGTAAGCCGCTGGTCGCCAATGGCTGTCCGGCAGTCTGCCGGCCTCTCCACTCATTTGGATGCTATTATTTGAGGTGCTGTGGGTCTGGGGACGTGCCGCGTCAGATTACGTGCATTGCTGGCGCTGGTCCACATATTCAACCTGACACCACGTGTCCTCCCCATGTGACCGACCCTGTGTGCCCTGAGTATGTGACTGACACATGTATCCTCCCCATGTGACTGACCCTGTATGCCCTGAGCATGTGATTGACCCTGTCTGCCCATACTGTGTGACTGGCCCGCGCATCCTCACATGCGCGTCCTCGTCGCCGACCTGGCTTGTCCTCGCCGTGTAGCCAGTCCCGGCCGCCCTCCCCACGCGGCTAGCCCCGACTGGTCCGGCTGGTCCTCCCGGCGGGACCCCGCCCCCTTCCCCCTCCCCGCAAGACGCGGCCTCGCCAGCGACTGACGGGCGCCCGCGTGTTGGTGTGTGTGCCGGCAGTACCGCCACGCTGGAGCACGAGGTGGCCTGCATCGACCTGACGCCGGCCGGTGGCCGGACGCGGGCCCACCTGGTGGCCGTGGCGCTCTGGACCGACATCTCGGCGCGCACGCTCTCGCTGCCGGAGCTGCGGCCGCTCTCCAAGGAGTGCCTCGGCGGCGAGATCATCCCCAGGTGGGCGCGGACGGAGCGCGGCGACGCTGCAGCGCGCCGCCGCCTACCTGTGCGGTGGCGGTGTGGCGTGTCGTCTGCTGTTTGTTGTGGATGCTAGCCTCGCGGCTCTTTGGCGGTCGTTGATCCTTGGTGTTGCCTTCACACACCGAGAGAACAATCTCGTAGAAGTGAAAAGTTCTCTTTTGACGAGCCCTGCCACGCGCCCGCGTGTTGGGCCGTTCACTTCAGTTTGTTGTCGGTGGTGGGGTCGAATACTGACTGGTGCGGGGTCTGTGTTCCAGGTCCATCCTGCTGGCCGAGTTTGAGGGCGTGCCCTACTGCCTGGTCGCCATGGGGGACGGCTCGCTCTTCTACTTTCACGTGCACCTCGAGACCGGCATGCTTACGGAAAAGAAAAAGGTTGGTTGTATTCGGAAAACTGTCTCCTTCAGAGAGCGCGCTCCAAGAAACATGATAACGATCGGCTCGATTTATATAAAAAAACAAGCATGGCAGCGATAGAATCGATTCATATTATGATGCATGAAGCAAGAAATTATGTAATGTGTTCGTGCTACAACCACCGTCTGTTAACTTCAATCGTTTCCAGCCGACCAGCGACAGCTTAAAATTAATGAGTATTGATTGGTGTTTAAAACGCCGGATAGCTGTTCGCTGCCCGGGGGCTCGGTGTACCCCTCGCGATAATGTCGATCCCCTTGTTCTCGTGCCGACCTGCCCTTGCAGGGTATGTGGGAGGCGTGCCCTTCGTCCGTCCGTACCCTCCACTGACTTTCATCACCTCTGTGATGCGGCCATCCCGTCCCCGGCCAGTTGGTCCTCTGCGCCCGTGTGATACCCCCTCCCCCCCCCCTCCGGTGCCGCCTGACTCCGTCCGTCTCTGGCGGCCAGACGTGACCTGCCGCACTCCTCGCGACGGCCGCCACCCCCTGCTTGTCACGCGTCCCCTCTGTGCCCCGAGTGTGACACGGCCCGTCACTCGCGCCGCCAGGTGACGCTGGGCACGCAGCCGACTGTGCTGCGGGCGTTCCGACCTCACTCGACCAGCAGCGTGTTTGCCTGCTCCGACCGGCCGGCCGTCATCTACAGCTCCAACTACAAGCTGGTTTTTTCCAATGTCAACCTGCGCGAAGTCGGCCACATGTGCACGCTCAACACGCGCGCCTACCGCAACAGGTGGGCCCGCCGGCGGCCGGCGGTTGGCGCGGGTACCGCGCGCGCTGCGAGGCGGCGTGGTGTGCCGCTGGACGGCCGCCAGACGGCGGGGAGAGGGCGAGGGTGCATGGCATGACCGCGATCCGCGGGCTCTGGACTAATGCTGGTGGCGGGAGCAGCGCCACCTCGAAGCCGGGGATGTGTTGGTCACGATGGTATTCTCGTCCGCACCCTCCTCCCCTTCCCCCTCCCGTCCGGTCGGAGGATGTTGTTTGTGCCGACGAAACGTTGCGTATTGCCTTCTTATGATACGTTGGGGGCTGGGTCGACCATTTGACTCGCTGCCCTCCGTTTTCATCAGCATGGATTGGATAATGTGGATGTGTCACTGTCTGCCCCATTGGATGTGTCATTGGCTAATGTGAAATTACGGACCAGTGTCATCTCATGAGTGATGTGCCTTCGAGGCAGGCACAGCCAGAGGGCAACTTTTTAAACAGCGTCCTCTCATTTGGGTGCTCGTATACGAGGAGGATGGAGGACCTGGGGAACTCTACAAGTGGGGTTTGGTGTTGAAATTCAGCGAGGCAAAAGTGCTCACTAAGTGGTACAAGCGTTTGACCGCTTGCCCGCATCTCATTAGGCAAACGATGCGACGGGGTTTCTCCCGCCATGGGAGGAACTGTCCGGGGCTTTGGTCTGCGCTCGAATTGCAGCAAAGTGGCTGGTCCGTTACGCTAGCAAATAGTGTCCGCTTGTCTTTCCTAGGCGCGATGGGGAAAAAAGCCGCCCTAGTCTGTTCCCCTGTCGATTGTTCCTTTGTTCAAGTATAGGCTTGAGCATCACAGGTCTTCAGCCACATACGCCACAACCACACACGATCCACGTGATTGATGGACTAGCGCGGTATCGGTCATTGGGGACCGAATGATTTTCAAGCTCGAAACAGTGTTTTGTCCCAATTGCTAGCCCGCGAACGGGATTAGAAGTTCTGCGCGGACCATTTTCAAGTTGACTGCTGGGTTGAAATGTGTTGTTGGTACCGTTTTGGCCGACCCACATGTCGTTCGGTACGTCCTCATTTACGGGCGATTTACACAGGTCATTTGGGGCTTGTATACTAGTTATGCTATACTTGCACACTATACTTGTACACTATAATATTGGTGCATAGGCTTATGGTCTTTATGTATACATTACATTTGTGTAGGTTTTTCTGTATCCTTTAGCTAGAAAACAAGTGTTGATAATTCATCAGAGACTAAATGTAAAGCACAGATTACGTTGAATGATTTTATATTTTGACTCTTGGAAAATGTGTGGCCATTCACGGTAATCATCGGTGGATGATAAAGCTATTACTTCTGGTTGGCTTTAAGGAGCATAGTTTCGCGAAGTTAACTATTTTTAGGGGGAATGAACGTTGATTAAGCCGAACCCCACAATACGCCCACAAACAGATCTCTCCCTGCATTTGGATCGCCTTCTTCTCTAACTGGTGGTGAGGCATGGAGCCTCCAAATAGGTGGGAAACTACACCCCTGTTGCCTTTGGATGCCCGACGTGTTTTAAGTTAAGATCTTGTATCGACGTTTATTGAAATGGCTCAGCTTATCACTAGCGGCGAAATCGCAAGTGGATAATTTCAATTCATTTTTTGATCGATTGATCGCCAGATTCGCCTCTCAAACATTTTTTATTAGCATCGGAACGAAACATAATAAACATGATGATATACACATATAATGATGACAATGAATGCCTCCTATGCCGTACTGTGCGGTGTTATTGTGCTATATATTCCACATATCACCGTGATAGGACATATTTTACGCTGTGCGTTGTTGTGCCATTCGTTCGACATCGCACGTGTCAAGGAGCGGATAATTTGTCTGACAATCTTCCACCGACGAATCAGGGGATGGAATGCCTATCAATACTTTCCTCCGTCGGGAAGTGAAAACGTCGCTTTCAACGCAAAGAACTAGGGGATGCGCATACCTCATGTAACCACGAAACTGTTTGCCGTGCTGGCGGCCGCGGATAATGGGTGGTTCTTATTGGGCACGTGGGTAGATATCAAAAGGGTTTCCTGTTGTCGGAAGCATTGTGGAAAAGCACATACCGCATTATGAATTATTGAAGACTTTTCCAAACGCGGGTGGTTGATCCCGGATTTCAGCGACTGCAAAAGTTCATAGCATTATTGGACTTCTTGCCGTTATGAAATGCGTACCTTGAAAGATACGCTTGAAGCCGGGCCCGGGGGTGTCACGAGGACGGGGTTGGTTGGAAGGGTTTGGAAGGACGGGACTGTGATGCGATCAAGCTCATGATTTAATATTTGTGTTGTTCTAATCGCTGGAGGAGCAGGAGAATTGGCCATGGTGATTATATTCCTCCCCATACTAGAAGATCCCTCACGCATCATGTGTGCGGACAGTGACAAGCTGACACACTCGGCCTGTTTTCGTATCTGAGCTGTTGGGACGCATTGGGGATGTAGCTCAGTGGTAGAGCGCTCGCTTCGCATGTGAGAGGCCCCGGGTTCAAACCCCGGCATCTCCAAGAAGTTTTCCTATGTCGCGCGTCACATGTCTGTTATGCTGTGAGGTCTTGGTGCGCGTCTTACGAGTTTCGTCATCTTTTCGTCTTCACAATGTCAAGTTATGAACATCCGTTATTCGTATCATCCGTTGTCTGCGACTCTCCTTAATGGTCTCGCCCCGTATGCCCTCAGCCTGGCGCTTGCAACGGAGACGACAATCACTATCGGCGTAGTGGACGACATTCAGAAGCTGCACATCCGCTCTGTGAAGCTGTTCGAGTCCCCGAGGCGGATCGCCTATCAGGAGCCGACCGAGGTGAGGGCAGTTGGCACGGCGCCAGCTGTGGCGAGACCTGAACGCGTGACTGGCGAAAACAGTGGAGGCGTTGGCAGTTAGCTGTGCTGGATACGGATTGAGATGATGCCTTTTCATCATCTGGTGCTGCCCTTTTATCATCTGGCCACCTGAACTTGGCACGAGGCGGTGTCGGCACATCGGGAACGCGAGAGGAAATACTTGAATTTATGGATTTGACGGCTGTCCGGTACCAAAAATTTCGTAGAGTGTAGAGATATGCGATGATTGACCAGCCACAGTCAGTTTTCACGGTCGTGTCGTTCCATAGGTCTGCTCTTGTCGGGAGCGCAGGCGCTTGTGCTCGTACTGAGATCCGAGTGATAGAAAACTGCCGGTGATAGAAAACTGCCGACGTTTTCGGCGGACGCAGTGAGGCTCAAGCCACGTTGAAGCATGCACAGAAAAAAACGCCACCGTGTCACCAACTTGTTTCCGGCTCCCATACGCCTTCTGTGTAGCTTACGGGCATATCGACTGCGTTGGTTGTTTACGTCCATAAACGTGCTTTTAAGATGACTCCGGTACTCCTTTATTTGTGGGATATCCTGTGTAATATCCGATGAAGGACAGCCTTCCTAGAGTGATTAGCTCTTCCGATATACCATTGCACTCATAGCCTTCTGGTGGCAATTTCCCCCAAAATTAATGGCCCCGGAATTAAGTCAGATGTTTCCATGGAGACGTAAGCGTTTCCAGAACGCGTTCCGACCATGACTACAGCTGCGGATGACTCAGACCCAGACTATATGCGAGTCAGCCGGGCGCGTCCTGCCCTCCGGCCTGACCCCCCCCCCCCCCCTCCCTACCGCCAGACGTTCGGCGTGCTCTCGATGCGGCTGGACGTGCAGGAGGCCAACGGGCTGGCGGCGCTGCGGCCGTCAGCCTCCACCGGCGCCAAGTCGGTCAGCCAGTCGTCGGCGGCCCAGCTGCACCGGCCCTCGCTGCAGCAGCTGGAGCAGGGACAGGAGGTGAGACGTCACGCGCCGTGGCCGGGCCAGCCGCCGACGGCGGCGCTGCGGCGATCCTGCCCGTGGTCGGGTCGTGCAGGTTCTTGCAGTGGTGTGCAGCGTGCTCGCTGCGTCGGCTGGCGACGGGATTTCATTCCATCCGGAACACGCTCTGCCTCGCAGAACGCGTCGTGTGGGAAGCATTGTCCACTATCACTCACAGCTGGTCTATCCAACGCATATCCGACGCCGCGGACACGGCGCCAGTGTCAGACGTACGCCACGCGCTGCCCCCCCCCCCCCCCCCCCCCGGCAGCATGAGGCCGGGGCCGGGATCGGCGTCCGCTCACCCGGCGTCCGGGCCGCCAGGTGGAGGTGCACAGCCTGCTCATCATCGACCAGCACACGTTCGAGGTGCAGCACGCGCACTCGTTCGTGCCGTCCGAGTACGCGCTCAGCCTCATCTCGACCCGGTTCGACAACGACCCGGCCGTCTACTTCGTGGTCGGCACGGCCTATGTCAACCCCGAGGAGTCGGAGCCCAAGCAGGTGGGGAACGGACGGCACTGGGGGGCGGAGGCGGGAGGTGACGCAGCCCTGACTGGCGCGGCGGTCCGGCGAGACGCCTGTGCCGACGGAGTGTGAGGCCGCGGGGGAGGGAGTGCTGGCACGAATGAGATGGGTTGTGGCGCGCCTTTTCGAGGCGCGGCAGTGCCATATGGCTGTTGAGTCGCGGCCGTTGTCCAGGCAGCTATGGTTGACGGCAGTCGCGTGTGCGCAGACTGACATGGAGACTGAACGGCTTGACTGGAAGCTGGTTGTCATTGTGCGAGAGCAACGCTGGATAGCAGGCGCTGGTATGTTACCGTTTACCATCTTTCTCGCCAGGGTCGCATCGTAGTGTTCCAGTTCCATGACCAGAAGCTCACCCAGATAGCCGAGAAGGAAATCAAGGGCGCCTGCTACAGCCTGGCTGCCTTCAACGGCAAACTGCTGGCCAGCATAAACAGCACGGTGAGTTGACACTCGGAGACACTTCTCAGAGACGCTCCGCAGTCGGTCAGAAAAAAACTCTGGAACCTCAGAAACGAAGCAGCGGGCACAAAGCTGTACTGGGCAGAGAGTGAGGAACTGGTGATGGTATCCTGCGGCGTCCGTGGATCGCGTTTGCCACCTGACGAACCCCAAAAGGTTATGACGGTTAGACGCCCAGAAACCGGTCATGCAAATCAACATAACCATTTCGTCGCAAGTCTGCACTAGACGTCACAATTCTTAAAGGACATGTTCTTGGTTGGGAGTTTCGGACATCTAATCGTGTCTGACCCGTGTCAGTGTGGGGCGGTGTTGGCCTGCACAGCGCACGTGTCCGGCGTCTAGCGTCTCCCGGCGTGCTGCCCTCCAGGTGCGCCTGTTCGAGTGGACCATGGAGCACGAGCTGCGGCTGGAGTGCAGCCACTTCAACAACATCGTTGCTCTCTACCTCAAGACCAAGGGTGACTTCGTGCTGGTCGGCGACCTGATGCGCTCGATTACTGCCCTCCAGTACAAGGCCATGGAGGGCAACTTTGACGAGGTGAGATGGCCGTGATTCGCTGTTGTCTTCCAAAAACCGGGGTCAAGATTTCATCGAGCGTGGATGGTATCGTCGGTAGCCAAATGCCGTCCAGCCGCATCGAAGAAGGGCGCTCGAGATTCGTCAGCTTCCGCTGGTCACGTCTCCGCCGTGCTCGCGCTGACCCGTCGCCCTCGTGCTGACCCGCCGCCGCGCCCTGTGCTCTGCAGATGGCGCGTGACTTCAACGCCAAGTACATGACGGCGGTGGAGATTCTGGACGACGACACCTACCTCGGCGCCGAGAACAGTCACAACCTGTTTGTCTGTCAGAAAGACAGGTGGGTGTACCCGAGTGTCGTTGGCGGGTGAGGTCTGTTTCCCCGCCAAGACGGTGGGCGCGTGGAGCTCTGTCGGCCCGTCGTCAGAGAAGGTGCTTCATGAGCGGGCGTGCTGAAGATGCCGCCAGTCATGGACATTCGGAATGTTACACGCTGGACCTGGTGGGAACTGTGACCGGGCTGGTGCTGCCAGCCAGCGCCAGTCCGACGTGCACATTAGTGTGCTAGCGCCAGTCTGACATGCAGACTAGTGTGCAAGTATCAGTCTGGCATGCAGCTTAGTGTGCAAGCACCAGTCTCACATGCTGACTAGTACTCCAGTACGAGTCTGACATGCAAACTAATGCGTCAGCGCCAGTCTGACACGCAGACTAGTGTGCCAGCGCCAGTCTGGCTGTTCTTCATGGGAACTGTGCGGTGCGCAGCGTCGCTTGCTTGTCGCTCTCCGCAATCACGCACTTATCACGTTGTCGGAGTTAGCTCTTGAACTTTATCGCGGCCTTCCCGCATCGGACACCAGTCGTAGAGGCAGCGAGCGCCGGGCTGTCACCGATTCTCGTCGCCATTCCCTCCACGTCGCGGCGACCCCGCTCCCCGCTCGTGACGCTCCGCCCCTCTCGCCGGCGCAGTGCGGCCACCACGGACGAGGAGCGCATGCAGATGCAGGAGATGGGCCGCTACCACGTGGGCGACATGGTCAACGTGTTCCGGCACGGCTCGCTCGTCATGCAGGGCGTCACCGAGAACATGGCGCCCACCTCCGGCTGCGTGCTCTTCGGCACTGTGCAGGGCTCGGTCGGTACGTGGCGGGCGGCGCCGGCGGCTCCGGCGGCGGGCCGGGCCGGGCTGGGCGAGGGTCGAAGGCGGTACTTGGCGACGCCCGCAGCGCGCTTGATCTGACGGCGGGATGTTATGGGCTGGTCTGTTCCGGCCAGAAGACGAACCAGTGTCTTGCACGGGCGAAGGGTCTTCGAACGCTGTTCGTGCGTTCGGGGGAAAGGATCGTCGATGAGTCGTGTTAGCCTGATAGAGAAGCCCTGTTGTTTTCCTGACAGTGGGGTCGTTTTTTTTCTTGAGGGAAGGAGGAGGGTGCATTTCAGCGGTCCCACGCCGAGATCATGATGAGTTGTGGCTGGTCACCCCAGATATCTCCGGCGGCTACCGTGTGACCTGATCTGGTGACCCATGATACGTATCATGGTCTTCGTCCGGTTACCCCAGCACTCGCCCTGTGCCCAGGTCTGGTGACCCAGCTGGAGCCGGACTTCTACGCCTTCATCGCGGAGCTGCAGCAGCAGCTGACGCGCGTGATCAAGCCGGTGGGTAAGATCGAGCACGCGGCGTGGCGAGCCTACCGCTCGGAGCGCAAGACCGAGCCGTGCGAGGGCTTCATCGACGGTGACCTCATCGAGAGCTTCCTCGACCTGAACCGCGACCAGATGGCCGAAGTCGTCCGGGACCTGATGGTGAGAGGGCGTGACCCGGGTGGGCGGCGGCCTGACCTGATCCAGCTGGCCGAGGTCCGAGCGTCGGGAGTAGCTGGGGCTCGGGGCTGGTCTGCTGATGCTGATGAGAGGGTGGGTCAGGGCGGTGCAGTGAGCGGGGTGCCCGGTGCCCGCGCTGGGCGGCGACCTCAGAGCGTCTGGCTCAGACGCCTCGGCCACCTTCTGGTGGGCGGTCTGCAGATGCTGCGTCTGGCGCGCGTGTGACGCCGGCCGTGTCCCACGTGTCTGACCCGGTCGCTCCCCCTCTGCCGTCTCCGCAGATCACCGACGCCTCGGGCCAGCGGCGGCCGGCCACCGTGGACGACATTATCAAGGCGGTGGAGGAGCTGACGAGGATACACTGAGAGAGCGGCCGCCGCCTCGCGCCCCCTGAGCTGTGACCTTGTTTTTGACGGCGCCGCGCCGCCGCCGCCAGCGCAGACGAAGCCGGCGCCGCCGCGACGGAACTGCGCGTGCCTCCCGGCAGCCGCGGAGCTTGCAATCTCGCCCACGTGCGCCCCGGCGATCCGTAAGCGGCCGCGGCGGGAGCTGGGAGCGTTCTGCTGGCCGCTTGTTCCGGACTGTTGGCTGGACTCGCCGTGTACTCGCGCTTGGCTGGGCGGCGGAGTCGGGCGGCTCGGCCGGCGCCGGCTGCCGTGCCCGCCCAGCCGTCAGGGTTTGGAACGGCGAGCGCCGGGCCGGGCGTGTATTTCGTGTTCACGTGTAATGAATATACGAACCTCGTAGCCGGAGTGGTGGCCGTACGACGCTAGCAGGCATGTTTGGGGAGAGTAGACCGAGCGGACGCTTCTGACGCTCTCCGCCGTACAAGAAAAGCGCATGTGCATTTCAGCAACTTTTCAGGGGATAGCTTTTTGGATTTTCTGCTATAGCATGCTATAGGTTGTTCGCACATACTTGAATTATGTACCATCAAATTCACATTCAAATGAATTACTCTACATGCTGTTTAACCCACTTAAAGGCATGAACCTCGCAAAAATTCAGGGAAGTTTTTTTTCTATTTTGACATTCGTAGCGGCAAACGTGCGTTCCGCGACTTAAGAAAAGTGCCAATACAGCGGACACTCTTAGAAAAAGCGGAAGTTAAAAGCGGAAGTTCACCAGCGTGTGTGATGAAAAGAGCACAAGTGCAGACACGCGCTTTATCTTAATGGTAAGATGGTGTTTCAAGGCAGGTGAGGGGAATCGTAAATACATGCAAGGTATATAAGTCGACGCAGGAAATAAAACGCGCAAACTTTCGCCTCAGAATGACCAGAATTTGATGACCTACAGCGACACGCTTAAGCGTGGGCAAAGCAAACTTGGAATCGACATGTCTTTCAGCTGGGTGGTGTTTGCATTTCCTTTTGGAGCGTCGTGGACAACATTCTCCTCACCTACCCTGAAGAGATCAGCCTGCAGGTAGAAGTTCGTGTTGCATTTCCTCCACAAACGTTCCTGGATTCCATCAATAGGCGGGCCATCTCAGCGCTAAGTACACAATGTCTCTCAAATATGTATTTTTGACATTATACACGACGTATCGGGGGTTGGACCACAAATCAGCAGTTCCCTCAGGAATGCATTTGACGCTCAAAACACGCAAAGGTAGTGGACACTAACATCATGTGTCGGAAGGTCAGCTGACCTATGCAACGGACATCATGGGCGCACTGTCCACGCGCACGCGACCCATCAGTCCGCCAGATACCGTACACCCACGCACTGTCCATGTGTGCGTGACCCATCAGTCCGCCAGGTCCCGTACGCCAACGCACTGTCCCTGTGTGCGCGACCCATCAGTCCGCCAGGTCCCGTACGCCAACGCACTGTCCATGTGTGCGTGACCCATCAGTCCGCCAGATACCGTACGCCAACGCACTGTCCATGCGTGCGCGACCCATCAGTCCGCCAGATACCGTACGCCAACGCACTGTCCATGCGTGCGCGACCCATCAGTTCGCCAGGTCCCGTACGCCAACGCACTGTCCATGTGTGCGCGACCCATCAGTCCGCCAGATACCGTACACCCACGCACTGTCCATGTGTGCGTGACCCATCAGTGCGCCAGATACCGTACGGGCATCATGGGCGCACTGTCTACGCGTGCGTGACCCATTAGTCCGCCAGATACTGTACGCCAACGCACTGTCCATGTGTGCGTGACCCATCAGTGCGCCAGATACCGTACACCCACGCACTGTCCATGTGTGCGTGACCCATCAGTCCGCCAGATACCGTACGCCAACGCTGCTCTGCTTTTGCAGCGCAAACCACAAGTCGTGTTTGTGCTCTGGCATCAGTGTTAGCAGGTTTTCCACAATTTTGTCGACATGCACCTTGTTCAGGCCACGCGGTTTGTTGCGGGATTCCGGGTCTTCTTTTGGGTCAAAGGAGGTTTTCATGAAGCTGAACGCCTTCCAATGCTGTTCGAGGTGAGACTTTTTGATGTATATCTGTTCACTACCTCCGAGGACTTGCAGACAGCGAACGTCCTGAACGTATGGCCGCAGACGCTCCTTGCCTAGCAAGTTAAGCTTTTTAGAGGATAGTCCATCCTGGAACTCGCGGAGGTCGGCACGGCACATCATAGCCGTTCTTATGCCTGTATCCTCTACCGCTTGTCAGGAATCCTGAGAATCGGAACCTTGGCATCTGAAATTTTTCTTTGAACCAAAACGTCAAAATGAATAGACGTCCATCGAGGTGCGGCCCTTCTCCGGGTATTTCATAGAGGTGGTGTCCATTGCGTTTGTGGTACGATGGACGAAAGTCATGAATACAGTGGCTACAATCCGTGCCCTATTTTGCGCCTGACAGTTGTCTGTGAAGGTCGCCACTTTCTTTTTGTCTCGGATGTTCGCTAAGGAAACGCCAGTTCGTCGCGGCAACGTTTTCTCCATCCCTGCCTGCTGTCGCCTCATGTCACAGGACTGCTAGCGACCTCTTCGACCTTTTTACTTTTCCTTCATTCTCGAGGGCAGCAAATGTCTCGTTATAAACAACGAAACGGAGGGTGAAGAAGACCGTTTTGTGGGGGAGGACAGGAATCAACATTACCTTCTCCGGGCTGGCGTCGGACACGTGTTCGCCATCCCACTCGCGGTCCGCCTCTCTTCGATAGTCAGCTCTAGCCTCGCTGGCCCCGGCCAAATGTGTGTTATGCTCCTGACACTGCCCGCACCCGTCGACGCACACGGAGCCAGATGTCTGGGGCTTTATGCACTGATTCCGCGAGGTGTAATGACGAGTGCAGTTCTCACGTTCCTCGTTGCCAAGTTTGATGAAGCTAATATTCATCAGTTTTAGCTCCATTCGGCACCGCCCCAAACTGTTTTGCCAATGCTTGTCAGTGAAGTCTTTATGCATGCCAGTAGCTCCTATGTTGGATGTCAGATACAGCCCCTTCGATGCGTGGTCGTACCGAGGGTGATGTGCGCACGGCCGGTAACGCTGGACGTGATTTCGGATGGACAGTCGAGTCGATCTTGGTCCTCGGCGCTCCAAGTCCTCCACCGTCCTCCTTTTCGAACACAGTCGAGAGCGTTCCGGATGGCCTGGTCGTTGTTAGATTTCCAGGCCACTGCTGCCAGAAAGAAGGGTTTGCAAACGGGAACGGCTTGGTTGTTTTCATCCGGAAGCGCCCAAACGAGAGTTCTGTACATTTCTGCTCCCATGCCTTGGTTGTTCCTCTTGCTCTTGATCTAATTCCTCTTCACGTGGCACCGGAACCACTGGCGACGAGCTGTCCACGAAAGACGATTTACCATGCAGTTGATCCTTTGACGCTGCACGTTTGTCACTCTTTCAGCACACCTTTGCCTGCACTTGTCAGCATCGCATGTGGCTGGGACTGGTCTCAAGTAATGCTCCTCAGCGTATTCATTCCCCGTATCCTCGCGGTCAGCTGCCTTTGTCGCTGGATGGCCGATATGGCTGACGTCCTGTTCTGGGTTAATAATATCCATAGCAAGACCGACAGCGCTGAAACCCGGCAGCCGATCAGCGGCGGGGAGGTCTTCGGCAGGGTCAACGCCTGTTGGCAGCTGAGCAGTAGCGGTGGGCTGAGGCTGGACGACGGCGAAGTCTTCGGCAGGGCCGAGGACGTTGAATCCAGGTGGTGGCTGAGCAGCGAGCTGGTCTTCTCGAGAACCCCAATCCTCCAACAGCAGGGCCTTTCTAATGTATGTGGCAGGGGTTTCCTCTTCTGAGTGTCCTAGGTGATCTACCTCCATTCTTCTAATGCACCCAGGCTGCATGCAGAGTGGAAAGAAGAATACTTCCAAAGCTAGAGCCTGATTCATCGGCAGGGTCAGCAGCGCTAGAGCAAAGTGGCGAAGCCGGAGGCTGTACTTGGTCAGCAGCGAGGCTGCCCCGGATGGACGGGGCTCGGTCGGGGTGCAGACAGGGCAGGGAAGGGAGGCTGTGCCTGGACGGCAGCGAGCTCTCCGGAGGTGCCTAACGGCGGCAGGGAGCCTGAAGGTTGTGCCTGGACGACAGCGAGCTCTCCGGCAGGACCCGATGACGCCAGGGAGGCGGGAGACAGTGGTTGGACGGTGGCGAGCTCCCCGCTAGTGCCAGCGGTGTCGAGTGTTTCGTCTGGCGTCACTGATGGATGGAAGAGGCTACAAGAAAATGATGTGCTACGAAATGTGGTGGGACGAATTGACAGAGACAGGAAAGGTGTGCGTATTTGTCAAATTAACACTCTGTACCTTAGCGATGCAACCTCGTTCTTACGTGTGTGGAGTCGCCAACATCTCATCACGACGGATGGGGAGGGGGGGGAGGCGAAACAGCCAGTTTCTCACGAATCCAGCCTTTCGTTGCGATTCTAGGTCGGATGTCCTACAAAGTGAGGTACCGATTCCCTTTTTATGTTCGAAAATAGGTCCTTTGCCCAGAAACGTGAGCCGAAATTAATTGCTGAAATCGTAGAAAAGAAGAAAGTTTTGTTTGATCGTTAAGACTTGAAAGCATATTGCTCACTGACCGGCTAATAGAGACGCGGCTGCTATGTATCGAGAATACAGGCGATTGTTTTTCTCCAGATTTTGCCCTTGGTATGCCGCATGTGCGCAGTGGCCCCGGCCGCAAGCGGCCATATTTCACATTTAAGCTGCGTGCCTTGCACGTTGTGGCTCGCATCTCGACTTTCATCACCCCATATTGCGTGTAGTCTGCCGCGTATGGTATTACAATCGGCTTGATCAATCCGTTTGCATCCCATCTTATCTTAACAAACCACATCACCAAAAGAACCGCCTCAAACCCATCAAGTCACCAAACCGTGTCAAACTTTCACGGCGCTCAAGGCTACCTAGGCTACCTAGAACAGAACGCTCTCACGGCGCTCTGTTCTAGGACCATGCAGGGCTACTAGCGCGGCGCTGCAGTGGCTTTGGCCGCGGTGGCACATGCACACAATGGGCGTGCAAAGTTGCGTGTGGCTGTACCGAAATTCTTGCTGGATCAAAGTTATATTTGCCTCAGGGAGAAAGCCACCCCTATGCTGCTTTGAGAGGGAACAATCCGTAACAGAGCAACTTATTCTATTGAAAGATTTTTGCTTCGAAATGCCTTGCAAGACTTTTCTAGCCAGTGCCTATCCATCTGACGTGCACCATTGGCGTTTTTACAATTCTACCATAGGCTTTTCTTTGTGGAAAGAGTCGAGTGGAAAGAGCGGCAGTGGCATTGCAAAGAGGAAGTCGACCAAGAAAGCGCAAGCGCAGACATGCGCTTTTTATTTGTTAAATCGGCGTTGGCAAGGAAGAACTTGCGTTTTTTTGGCCTAGCTCGTAGCACTTACCCTTCTTTTGCGTTACAGATTGCACTTGTTGCACACTTGCACTTATTTTTGAAAAAGAAAATCCCACATTTTGTGAGACTGGGGCCGATTACGACGTTCATATTTTTAAGGATGACAGGGATCGGCATTGCGGGTTTGAAAGTACAAAAAAATTGCATAACCTGCACTTGCGCTTTACTCCTTTGCCCGGCATCTCTACACAGCAGCGCTGGTAACGCAAGCGGTTCGGATCGGTTGCGTCGGATAGCGTCGGAGACGGGACATCTGATTGTCCACATGATGCCCGCTCCGATAACTCGTGTGACAAAGGGAGGGGGCCGGGGGGTTGTCACTTATCCTGAAAGCGCTGAGCCACTCTTTCCGCTGACATAGTCAGAAAATGCTGATTCAAAGATGTCAAGCATGTGTTGAGCACTGCACCAGGACGGAAGATCTGGTAGCGCTCCCTGGGATTGTGTGGTCCTCGAATCTTGAATATGCAGATATCTGGCCGGTACAAGGGCCGGGGGCGCTCAGCAGCCTGCATTCATGGTTCACGTGCGACGCAGGTACGTCCGGATACTCGATTCACTTCCGTCGATATTTCCGCTCAGAGCCTCCTTGATCTCGATAAATCGGGACAGGGAACTAAAACCAGGAACACATTCAGGTTTGCCGGTGAGAGCAGCATACCGACTCATCTGTCGGCGTCCTTAAACTACCATCACCTTCGTCGGGTCAACTTGGGTGCCCTTTGCGCCCGGAACCTCGCCACAAATCACACACGCGCTCCCATACGCAAACCTGTATTCCTGACCATGACTAGGACGGATCGATTACCACGGGCCCCTCCCCACCCCCGCACGTGCGGACGCCACCGCCACCCCGCAGCATGGCAGAGGACCGGTGCGTTTCGCAAAGGCCACCGTCAGCGCCCCGGGAATTCGTCTCGGTGGTCGCTCCAATCCATACGTTACCAGCTTACGCCCCATACGGCACGCACGTACATCGGTCCGGCGAATGACCCCAGGTGACCCGTAATCGTGAACATAGCCACAGCTGTAAACGATAAGATGCCAGTGAGTTATCGAACGTTCCACCTCGAATCACGAGTGACGGACCACGCAAGCGGCTGTTCCAAAACACGCTCAGGATATGGGATGAAGGCGAATGAGCACGACACGAATCACTGTCGCCAGTTCCATGTCGCTTGCCTTCATGCACACTCCTTAAAGCCATGGCTATTTCCCCCTGATTACAGCCCACTCCCCGTGACTGACAGCTCCCACATCTCACGCGTGCCGTGCGCAGCCGCTCCCTAGGCGGCGCAGGCCTTGATCCACGCCGCCACCTCAGCCACGCCGCGTCCGCTCTGACAGCTGACCACGGCCTCCGTCAGCTGTTGCACGCTCAGCTGACGCAGCTCGTCCAGCCGCAGCAGCACGCGGTACTCCGCGACCTCAGCTGGCGAGGCCAGGTCGGCCTTGGCGAACACCACCAGAACCTGCGGCGGCCGCGGCGCGCTGACGCGGGCGGCCCCTCTCCGCGTCACCGGGGCGGAGCCGCCGAACGGTACGCAAGTGGGAACGAGCACGCTATGCCGCTCGTGGCTGGTGTCACCCTGGTGCCCCCCCCCCCCCCCCCCCAATAAATCATCACAGCTCACATGGTTCACCGTCGAGCGGATATATCCAGCGAACACAGCAATACCAAGTGCTAAGTATGGCAGTTATTGCACGATCAGAGCATCACGAATCGCATCCAAGCCGGACCGATCGGGTCTCGCCGATCCGCCGACCGGCTTACACGGTCGAGACGCGGAGCTGAGCGGCGACAAACATGCGTGCGACCAAGCCATATGCCGTCCGAGCTAGCATACCGAACCACAGGCAGGGCGTGCTCGTGAGGGCAGGCTTGTGCGAACAGAGCGAGCAGAACTGAAACCGCCCACAGGCGCATGCGCGACATCGCAGCACAACACCCTCCGGCGGTCGTCAGCTCTTCACCACCGCGATGGCGCGGTGGACGGCGTCAGGCATCAGGCCTCCTCCTCAGGCCAGAGACACCCGCTGCCGGGCGCCCGCGCCGCCGCCACCGTCGCCGTCGCCGCCCGCCGACGCACCGTCGGTCAGTCGGCCGCTCTCGAACTGGCTGTAGATCCTGTCGTACCTGGCCAGGTCTGCGGCCGAGAGCGACGGCCGCAGCGTGTCCAGCGCTGCCTGCAGATGTGCCTGCGTCACCACCACCTCCACCGGTCTCGCCCCCGCCGCCGCCGCCGCCGCATCCCCGCCAGTCGCCAGCAGCGGGTGCTCGTCCACGGCGCGCGCCTCGCGCTCGTCCAGCGGCGGCCCGCCTGCCTGCGTCCAGGCACGCGGCGCTCCCCCTTCTGCCGCCTGCTCGCCGAGTTCCGGTGGCGGCACGGCGTCGCGCACGGCGCGCAGGTGCGCGTCGGCCACGGCCGCGCGCAGGTCGGCGCCGCTCAGTCCGTCGCGCGCCGCCAGCGCCGGCAGGCGCACGTCCGCCGCCAGCCGCAGCCGGGCCGTCAGGGCGCGCAGGATGTCGGCGCGCGCGGCGCGGTCCGGCATGCGGCAGCGGACGAGGCGGCCGACGCGGCCCGGCCGCAGCAGTGCCGGGTCGAGCAGGTCCGGCCGCGAGGAGGCCGCCAGCAGCGCCACCTGGCCACCGCCCGCCGGCGTCTCGGCGCCGTCCAGCAGCGTCAGCAGCTGGTTCACCACGCGGTCTGTGACGCCCGTGCTGTCGTGGCCGCGCCGCGGCGCCAGCGACTCGAACTCGTCGAAGAAGATGAGCGACGGACTGGCGCGGGATGCCCTGCGGGAGAGGGCGAGGGGAGGGGTTCAGCGGGCTAGCGGCAATTTAGAACAGTGGTGCAGGCACCGGAATAATCCGCAGATCTTAATGCAGAAATAATGACATTTTACGCATTCCAAGACAGACTGAGCGACACGTCATGCTACTGGTATCTCATCCTGCACGTTCTGCTCCTGAGACGGTTATCTATATAATCTTTCGCAAGATACATGATTCATTGCCACTTCAGCTAACTTATATGTAATAACCGTTTAACGTTAACAATAGAGTCGTGTCAGTGACATTACCTTTCGAACAGGTCCCTGACAGCTAGCTCGCTGGCGCCGATGTATTTGGACAGCAGCTCTGGGCCCTGCAGTGAAGGGCAGCAGATACGTCAGGTAGCTGTTCGCAACACACGCACCGCAACTCCACCAGCCATCAACCAGTCCGGCATCGACATCAGAAACCTGAGAGAGTGACCATCCTCACGTCGTTCGGACAAACGGCTACAACATCCGGCAGCGCTGTATTCATCACCTACGCCCGTAACCCGGATAAAACCAGACAACCACCCAGGATTGAACGGCACGCCACCGACCATGTTCCAGGTGGACCCGGGCTGACCCGACTCACCTTAACCTGTAAAGAAGTTGATGTCGGCCTGGTGCGCGAGCGCGCGCGCTAGTAGCGTCTTGCCGGAACCGGGCGGCCCGTACAGCAGCGCGCGGGCCTGCACGTGGCGCCCGGCGCGCGCGTACAGCGCTGGGTAAAGCAGCGGCCGCTGCAGAGTGTCCACCAACAGTTGGCGCGCGTCCTCCAGGCCGCCTACCTGGCTCCAGGGCACGGGGTCTGGCCGCGACTGACGTACCTCCTGCAGCGCCGCCGGCGTCAGGCCTTCCAGCGCCGCCGCCAGCGCCGTCTCCGTCAGCTCGGCGGTCGGCGCCGCCAGCCGCGCGCGCGTCACCAGGCGGCGCACGTCGCGCGCCACGAAGCCGCGGCAGCGCTCCGCCAGGCGGCGCCACTGCGCGTCGGTCAGCGCGGCGCCACTGAGCTCGCGCAGCTGGCGCGCGCGGCCGGCCGCGTCGGCGGCAGCCAGCGTCAGCTCGAGGCCGAACACGTGCAGGCCCGGCGGCCGGCGCAGCGCCGCGTGCAGCCGACCGCCGACGGCCAGCGCCACCACGCGGCCGCGGCGCGCCGTCAGCGCCGTCAGCTGATCGCAGAGCGCGGCGGCCAGCTGCGCGAAGTAGGCGGCGCGCGGCGACGGCTCGCCGCCGCCGTCGCCCTCGGCCGGCGTCAGCACGTCGAGCGCGTCGAGCACGACGAGCGCCGGCTGGCGAAGCTCGGCCTCACGCAAGAGGCGACCCACGCGCTCGCCGACCACCTCCGGCTTCTTGCCGAGCAGGCTGCTGCAGTCCAGCTCGCTGACGAAGGCGCAGAGCGGCGGCTGCGCCAGGCGCCGGCACGCCTGCCGAGCCAGCGTCGTCTTGCCGACGCCCTGCGCGCCGGTCAGCAGCACGTGGCCGAGGCCGGCGCAGGCGAGCGCGCCGCGCAGCCACGCCTCGAGCCGCCGCTGCTCGGCGCTGTACGCCGTAAAGTCCGTGTCGGACCCTGGTGGCGGCGGCAGCGCCAACTCGGCCAGCTCGGCGGCCGGCAGCGGCCAGGCGGGGCGCCCCTCGCCGCCGTACACGCCGCTCAGGCAGGCGACGGCGAGGTCGGCCGACGGCGGCGCCGGCACGCGGAACACCTCCGCCTCCGCCTCCAGCACGACGTCGAAAGGGCGCAGCGTGCGCTCGTCCGCGAGCCGCAGCAGTGCGCCGCTTCGCCACCAGATATCAGTCGCGTCGCCCAGGCACCGCTGCCAGGCGGTCAGGTGGTGGCGCACCGTCTCGAGAGCGGACTGCGACAGCCGCTCTGGCCAGACGCACGTCAGCTGGCGCGCGTCCGCCCGGCGGCCAGCGGGCAGCGCCAGCGGCCGCAGCGTGGCGCGGTCGCTGACAGCGAGGCGCAGCTGCCGGCGCACCACGTCCGGCACCAGCACGGCGCCTGCGGCAGGCGCGCTCGGCGGCACCGGCCGCGCGCGCTGCCGCCCGCAGCGGCGAATCGTCCGGCAGCCGGTCCACGGCGACGAGCAGGACGAGCGCGGCAGCACGCGGCGTGGCGTCGGCCGCCGCCGGCAGCAGCTCGCACCAGCCGAGCGCCGCCGGCGCCATGTCCTCCGCCAGGCAGAAACACACGCGATTCGCTAGCAGCGAGTCGGCGGCGGCCAGGACCGGGCCCGGCCGGCAGCGCGTGTACACGCAGAGTGCGGGCCGCCGGTGGCGTGGCGGCGGCCGGCGCGCCGGGCGGCTCGGACGTCCCAGCCAGGCCGAGCAGATGCAGCAGGCGTCGCGTCAGGCCGCCGCTCTCGTCCGGCTGCGCGGCGGCCGGTAGCGCCGCCTCCCGCCCGGGCCCGGCGTCCGGCGGCACGATCTCGAGCTCGGTCATGCGCGCCAGCAGGCAGCACTCGGCCGGCTCGGCGGTCGCCACCGTCACTGTCGCCACGTTGCGCGCGTCGAGCCAGACGGGCAGCCGCGCGCCCGGCCACACGCAGCCGGCGCGCTCCAGCAGGCTGTCCTGCAGGCGGGCGCCGCTCAGCGCTAGCAGCTGGTAGTCGGTGTCGGAGGCGGCGCGCAGCACGGCGCGCCGGCAGGCGGGCGGCTGCAGCCGGGTCAGACTGAGCGGCTGCTCGCCGGTCAGGCCCAGGCAGCGCGCAAGGTGGCGGTGCAACTGCACGCGGCCGGCCGGCGCCGTCCACGCGCTGCACGTCAGGTAGAGGGCGCGACCGTCGGCCGTTCGGGCGAGGAACGTCGGCCGCGGGTCGGCCGACCGCAGCGCCGCCGGCGGCAAGGTGACGAAGCAGCCCGGCCTTGACGAGAACTCCACGATGTAGGCCATGGACGGCGCACGCTCACGCCCGAACCTGACGCGCCGGCAGGCAGAGAGAAGGGCCCTTGGTGCTCATCTTGACTGCGCTAACACACCGCTAGTCGGCGGTCTTCCTAATTAAGACTGGCGCGTGCTTACCCTTATACAAGAATGCAACTGAAAAGCGAGCTGTGCGGTGAACTTGGAGAAAAACTGCAGAGAGGGCAAGAGCACAAGACTTAACAATGACTTAAAACCAAAAACAAGCGATAACATAGCGAACAGAGAAAACCAAGGCCTGCAGTCTACGGCGGTTATTTGATCCCAGCCTTACCTTAGTCCCTTGCAACTGGGGATGCTCCAGGAGCTCGATCAGCAACACTGCGCTACAAGCCGTCTGCGTCACGTCCGAGGCATCAATGACGTAGATAATACCCTTCAGATCATTGGTGTAGTACACCGGCCACAGCGGGCTCATGCAACCACCTGAAACAGTGGGCGCAGTGTGGAAACGATTGTTCTTGACGCTGGACTTCGCACAGTGACACAGAACCTTGCATAGACTGAATAGTGATGTGATTTAATATGTCATGAACTTTGACGTGTTACCAACTTTGGAAAGGATAAAAGTGATGGTAACAAGCAAACAAACCTGCGCTTTGTGTGTAGACATATTGATGATATAATACGCCTGCATATCATGATGAGTCACCTAAAAATCGTCATGAAAAATAGATGTCTCACTTTCGTGGTAACTAATCACAGTTCATGAAATGCATTGGATCAGCAGATATCAGATGCATCCATCTGTCCTCCTCACCTAGCTCGCGCACCGTAGGCCATAGGCTTCTTGGTCTTGTCAAAATGGAGGTCGGTAATGTTGGAGCCGACAGTGGGCAAGGTGACGTTCAGTTGACTCATGGACTGACCAGTCTGCAGCTGCCGTATCAGGGTCGATTTTCCACCACCACACGGCCCCACCACGAGGAACATGCCCGAAGTTGTGGTCACAGGTCTGTCAAGGCTGAAGGTGCTAGCCAGGCATATTTCTCACCTATCTGCAAAACTGGAAAATGTGTGATACATGTATTATGCTACTGAATTACATCAAATCAGATTGGGTTCATGGATAGTTTTTATCTTATGTTTCAGGAAACAAAAATAAAAAAGAAGTTTGACAGAGACAAATCCCAATCCCAAGCAATTGAAATGCCAATTATTCTGCCATCTGTAAATGGTCATAACACTGCCCAAAATTTTGTTATAAAACAATACCACTCTCGGCTCTCGGTGGCTCTCGCCTATCACTCAGTCTTGCTGGAGCAGTCCTGATGGCAAATTATTTGACAATTGACATTCTTGCAGGCACTGATTATGGGCTTTGGCAACTTTTACAAGCAGCATGTACAATTCTTCAAAACCATTTGGTGTGGCTGTCAGATATTTACAGGGCATCTAGTTGACTAGAAGCTTTTTCCTGTAACAATGTGATTCCACAAATTCACCACTGCCACTTGATGACATAAAATGTACAATCACCAATAGTGTAAAAGGTTAAGAATATTAGTTGAAATGGATCAAGGTGGACTGACATGGAGTATAGTATCTATAAAGTTTATGGAAACCTTTGGTGCCTTACAAAAATCATAAACCTTATAAACCTTATACAAATTTGAAAGATCTGTAGCAGGACACCCATATGCTAGCACATGAAAATGACCCCAAGGTAACAGGTGGACAGGAGACTGACAACAACACAAAGATGGTAACCAATTATGGTACACATATTATTATCACAAAAAGCACTGCCTTAATGTGTTCTCCAAGCCTGACACTACCAATGTACATCTAAACTTGATTTGCAAAGACACAACTTTATATTCCTAACATATCTTCTAGCATGTACTTCTCATTATGTTTACTCTGCAGGAGCAAATTGTTGTTTGCTAACCTGAGCAGCATCACCCCCCCCCCCCTTGGACTTAACACAGTGCACTCTTGCAGACTGCTTGCATTCCAAGAACATTCATTATAAATTATTCTATACCAATAAAATCAGGCATGACATTGATGAGATGTAATCTGTGGCCTTATCTGTGGAATTATGCAGTGCATGCTGTATGGATGTTAACTGTAACTACTGACAACCTGACCTTTAGGTGACAATTAAACACAAGACCAACATGAAAGACATGCATTCAACAGCCAAATTGGAGGGTGCAATATCCCATTTCCTGATAACTGGCACATGTCCCTCAGGTTCAGTAGTTATAACCCAGGCTCAGGTAATGGGAGAAACTCACATAATGCTTTAATTTTGTCTATTAATTTCTGACTACAAATGAAATATATTCCAAACTTCCTATGACCACCCAGACGCAGCTTGTGTTAGACCTTGCAAACTCCCATGTCAAATGCTGTCCAAAAAAGTTTTTTCTCAACAACCCAGCATCGCAAGCATTAACATGCATTTTAAGCTGATTTTTAAATGAAAAACATAGAGCCCTTTTGTGGATTTTAACAAAGCGAACGTGCAAACAGCACACCCCTCCCACCTCCGACACCCCACCTTCTCTCGATATATCGCCTTGCTGTGTTTGCCGCGATCCCTGCAATCGTTCGCCCGGTCACTTTGCTTGCTCACATTTGTCTGCTTTGCGGCATGATACCTTCCAAAAAACAAGTATTGATAAACATTTTCAATGCATTCTTTCACCTGTCTGTTTTCTGAAAAAAACATTTAAGTATTTTTCCATCAAATATTTGTGCTAACGCTCGTTTTGGCATGTTATGTAGCCTTTCAGAGGCTGCAAAATATGGTCAAATTTATCATGATATTGCTGCTGTGATGTCTTTCCCTATCCGGAGCTTATGACCGCCTACTCAGAACTAATGACCACAAATAACCATATGTACACAATACAGAAGTAATGAAAAATATTGCAAATCCGTCTGTACAATCAGATATTGCTGAGACTGTGCGCATTTCCTTTACATGTGCAGGGTGAATGTATATTATTTTGTTATGCCGTACTTTAGCCCGCATTTCACATTGGTGATGAGAAAAGTAGCCGTATCTGGCGCGCTCTGAATTGCGGATGGCGAGAGTTCCTTGTAAACAATGTGTGGGGAATGTCCGAACCTGTGGGATGGCCGTCACGTGTTGCGAAATCCTGGGATTTTTAGGTCATATTTGTTATTCTGTAGGTGGGGTGCAGACCGAATACTGTGCGGTCCCCAAGTCAGCATAGACACAGCTGTTGATCTAGTATGTATCGCACGTTTGCCTGGGTGTGCTCCCCAGGTGTGTTGCATAAACAGTATGGCTTGAGAATAATGCGGACGCATTGTTTGCTGCACCTCTATAAGCTTGGAGCAATGTACATTGAAACTAATGGCAGTTTTAATCGAAATCCCAAGGCTGAATTTATGTTTCCTTGTGGTCTAAACCCAGAACAACTTTGGTATGTTTTTGAAGTCCTGTATTGCGGTGTGTCATGTAATAACCATTGGTTGCTACATCTGGGAAGAACTAGGCCTCCATTTGTTTTCTACACTGGTCATATTGATTCCAGTCGAAAGATGCTGAGATGAGCATAGGCTCTAACACCAGATTGGAGTGAAGTGCAATCATAATTGTGAAATATTGGTTTGATTGCTAAGAGGAATACATGGGCATGAGTTTTAGCTTGGGGTGATGATAAATGGCAGTGGGTGTTCTCCAACAAAACTCATTTCATTTACAATTATTGACTAGCTTTGCATCAGTTAAGTGTTATGACAGCTTTGTGCTAATGGACCAGATTTGTTAATTCCTTTCCTTACTTGCCTGGTTGTGTTATGTATTTATATTTTTAGAAGTTTTTTGGTGAAGTGATTATTTACCACCTCCATTCTGCAACACATGAGATGTCCTCATTAGTGTGCATGACAGCTTACAGCCAACACACTCAGTGTGTTAGTCATGTTTGTGAAAATTGTAAGCCTGCATGCATATTTCCCTTGCTGTTTTGTATTTACTAAATATCATGTAAAAATAGCATTGCATGGTATGCACTGCAAATAAACCCAGAAAACATTCTAATAATATTTTTCATTGTGGCTACCTGTATGATGTGACTAGAAGGGAAATTTGAGTATGATCTATTGTTATCTTGTATCTATGTTGCAACATATATGTATATATATATATATATATATATATATATATATATATATATATATCTGTGTTACATCTGTGTTGCATCTGTGTTACAGAGAAAATATTTTTGACATGATTGCATCATCATGCTCTTTTATTAACACATTTGTATGATAGGCACTCAATACAAACTTTAATAAACTTAGTGTTCAGCACACATGTTCTTAAGTCTGACCTGCACTATGTTTGATGTGTCAACATTCATTATCACTCAGTGTGGTTTCTGTGAAGATGCTTAAAGGTTTGAACCATAATTGTTTTTTAACAAAGATTCCTGCCTCTCATCCCAATGAAAAAATATTAACCAGATGTCTAACAACCCAGAGTATTTGTTGAGTGGCAGGCTTCACCTTTCCACAAGCTTCTGGAAGCAACTGTGCTGTCTGTAACCCAACAATGTATTCTAGGAGCTGAGGTTCAGATTCTGTCACTTAAGGTTTTATGGTATCTAGGCTTTACCTGCATTTTTGCTTTTGGTTAGCTATCACCTGGGGTGACATCTCACCTACACAGCTGTGCAGCTTGATCAGCCAGGGTCTGCACAGCCGGGGTAGGCCTGTGGCAGACAGCATTTAGCTGGCCACTGGTCACAACAGGATGTTTGGTTAAAGTTGCCCAGATAGGATCTATATGTGTGTTAATGCACTGCATAACAAAGAACTTACAAAGTGTTTGAGATTCTCAGTAACATGTGTGAAGTGCTTGGTAGTAGAAATATTGGTCACTACTTTCATGTAATAGGAAACAATGTAACAGGAGGTTGCTGGTATCACTCTTATATGCTTGTAAATACCTATGTTTGAAATCTCAGCCCCTCCCCCCAAAACAAATGTCAGGGCCCTCTAGTGCCATTATGGTGGAAGCTACCTCATGTCATGTACCATTGTCCCTGCAGGGCTGCAGTCCTGGCCACAAGATGTCGCTGCGTCCGCGCCAGGTGGACTTTGATGCCATGTGGGGTGGCATCAAAGAGACTCTGGCAGGGGTGATAACGCTGGGCGCCGTGCCGCGAGATGTGTGGAGCGACCGGTTCGCCGATGTGTACGCCCTCTGCGTGGCCTACCCGGAGCCGCAGGCGGCGCGGCTCTACTCGGAGATCAAGACGTTCCTGCGCGAGCACGTGGAGAGCCTGGAGCGCCAGATCCGCGACGCCGGCGAACCCAACCTGCTCTCCTGCTACCACAAGGCCTGGTTTGTCTACAACAAGGGCTCACAGTACTTGGACAACCTTTTCATCTACCTCAACATCCAGCACTTGAAGAAGCGGAAGGTGACGCTGTCCGACCTCATCTACGGCGGCTACGACGCCGACGGCGACTCGGCCATCCTGGAGGTGCGCGAGCTGAGCCTGTCGTTGTGGCGGCGGCACATGATCGAGCCGTTCCAGGAGGCGCTGGTGCGCCAGCTGCTGGAGCGCATCAACGCGTACCGGCAGGGCGCGCTGCCGGACGGCGAGCACGGCGTCATCCGAGACGTCATCCAGTCGCTGGTCGACGCCGAGGGCTACAAGAAGGCTAAAGAGCTGGAGCTATACGAGACCGTGTTCGAGCGGGCTTACCTGCGCGCCAGTGGCGAGTACTTCGGCCGCATGGCCAGTCAGCTGCTGCTCGAGTGCGACGTGTACGGCTACATGGCGCGCGTGCTGCAGGTGATTGCCGACGAGCAGCTGCGTTGTATCAGCTACCTCAACGCCAGCAGTCACGACCGGGTGCTGGCCGAGCTGCGCGCGCGCCTCGTGGAGGACCACCTGGAGCTGATCCTGGCAGAGACGCCGACCATGGTGCGCGAGGAGCGGCGCACGGACCTGCGCCACCTGTACGAGCTGCTGCGGCCGCTGCAGCGGCCCGAGCCGCTGCAGCAGCTGGTGCGGCTCACCGAGGAGCACGTGCGCACGGTGGGCGTGGAGCGGCTGGTGAGCGCGCGCGGCACCGACAGCCCGCAGGCGTTCGTCGAGACGGTGATGCACGTGCACAACAAGTACTCGGCACTGGTGAGCGAGGTGTTCCGCTGCGACCAGATGTTCACGGCAGCGCTGTGCCGCGCCTGCTCGGCGGTAGTCAACCACCGCGCCGCCGGCGACCGCCACTGTCCGGCGCCCGAGCTGCTGGTGCGCTACTGCGACTCGCTGCTCAAGAAGTCGACCAAGGGCGTGACGGAAGCCTCGCTGGAGGAGCGGCTTGGCACGATTGTCGTCATCTTCAAGTTCGCCGAGGACAAGGACGCTTTCCAGAAGCACTACCAGAAGTTCCTCTGCAAGCGGCTGATGTACGACAACACGGTGAGCTTGGACTCGGAGGAGATGATGGTGACCAAGTTCAAGCAGACGTGCGGCTACGACTTCACCAACAAGCTGTCGCAGATGCTGCGGGACGTCAACGTCTCGCAGGAGCACACCGCCAAGTTCGGCGCGTACCTGGCGGAGCGGGGCGTCGCGCTGGGCCACAACTTGGCCATCAAGGTGATCCAGTCGGGCGCCTGGCCCATCCCCACCACCAGCATCGTCGAGTTCCGTGTGCCGCAGCAGCTGGAGCAGTCGATCCAGAACTTTGAGGAGTTCTACAAGGGCAAGTTCAGCGGCCGCAAGCTCTCCTGGTTCCACCACCTGAGCCACGCAGAACTGCGCCTCGGCTATCTCCCGCGCATGTACCTGGTCACGCTGCACACCTTCGCCATGGCTGTGCTCGTGCTCTTCGAGACGGCCGACTCGCTCTCGGTCGACGAGATCCAGCGCACCACGGGCCTGCCCGACGACCACCTGGTGCGCAACGTGCAGGCGCTGGTGGACGCTCGCCTCCTGACGTGCGATCGCGTGCCGGCCACGGCGCCCGGCGCCGTGCTCTCGCTCAACACGGCCTTCTCCAGCCGGCGCACGCGCTTCCGCGTGCAGACGGCGCCGGCGCCGCGCGAGGCGCAGACCGAAGTGGAGCAGACGCAGCGGGAGGTGGACGAGGGCCGCAAGATGTGCCTGCAGGCGGCCATCGTGCGCATCATGAAGGCGCGCAAGCGGCTGCGACACAACGAGCTGGTGCAGGAGGCGCTGGCGCAGACGCGCGCGCTCTTCACTCCGCAGATCCCCATGATCAAAAAGTGCATCGACGTGCTGATAGACAAGGAGTACCTGGCGCGTGTGGCAGACGCTACGGACGAGTACAGCTACGTGGCGTGAGCTGCGAGCCGCCCTGGGCGGGCCGGCGGCCCTGGGACCTGGTGCGGCGCGACGCCACCCGTCGCTGGCCCGGCCAGGCGAGCCGGTGTGATGATCGGGTGGCGCGCGCCAGGTGCTACAGCAGGCAACGGTCGGCGCGCGACGGTACCCGGTAGTGACGCCCGCGCTGCCCGTCCGCCGGGGTTTAGTGTGATGTGCTCAGGGCGAGCAGTGGCTGTCCGGCTCGGTTGGTCGGGTCCGCAGGCGGCTGGTGCTCGTGTGCTCGCTGGCCCGGCCGCCGTTTTAATAGGACGCTAAACTAAGAATTCAGGTGCAATGTAGTGACACCGGGAGGATCTGTACTGATAACCCATACGGAGAATAAAGCGGAGAGTTTGTTATCGACCTAATGGCTGGTGTGTTGGAACGCCTGCGTGTTGGAGTCCAGGAACTGTGCGATTGCTGAGGCGTTTTGCTTGAATACCACGTTTTTTTGTCACGAATGTTCACTAGCCATGCTTATTTTGCACCTTCGTATTTTACCGGTTGAAGATCACGGTCAGGATTTATGAATTATACTCTGACGGCATCTGTTGACTTTGTACACAGTTTCCGGTCACGTAAATGCTGCGGCCCACACGGTGCGCGAATTTCGTACTCTCGGGGCTGCTAATCAACGCTGCTGTTCGACAGTGCGAGGCCTGGCGCAACCCGCGAGCGCAAAAAAAAAAACGCTGGAGCCCTTCCGGACCCCCCAAGCTGAATAGGGAGGACCTCTGCCGAGGAGACTCCACTAGGCACCGGCTGATTCGGCTCGTTTGGGGCCTTCCTTCACGAGGAGGCGCCGTCGTTGATCGGGATCCGGGCAGGCCGGCAGCGCGCCAGCAGTACATCGCTCATGCGTACACAGGGAGTTGTGCCGCCAGCATGGCAACCGTGGCAAACAGCTGAGTGCCATCAGATCTATGGCCCACCAAACGTGCCAGGCCTGGGAAATGAGAAACGGTAGTTAAACAGGTTTTGCGGAGAAAGTGAGGGTGGTGTTCAGGCATCTTATGCAGGATAGTCAGTGGCAATATGCACCTGTTTTGGACTTTGCGACTCGCAGTACCTTCAGATCACTGCGGGCTTCGACGTAGCCACGCGGCTGTCAACATATTCAGGATGAATGGCAGACAGTAATGTTGTGCTCAGAAACTGGGAACAAGTCCAGAGGTTGGGAAGGTGGCAAAGTTTCCCGACCACCTGTTCCCGGCTCCAGCCAGCCAGACGCCTTCCCACAGGAGGTGGTGGTCGGCGTGTTTATGTGTGAAGGCACGTCATGGGTGGCTGCGTGATGCGTTTCATGCAGGTTAGCGCTGTCCACCGCCCCGGCCAGCGGTCGCGTGTCAGGGTCATGCTTGGATGTGTTCAACCCAGAAATGTGAAATGGCGCTTCATGATCTCCGATCAAACCCGCCATTCCTCGCCTCGTCAAAACGAAACCTGATGTTTTATTCGCAAAACGATTAAGTGGTTAAATCACATGCATGTTTCATGAAGTCCAAGAAATTGAAATTGAGAAAATGGCATGGCAACTATATAACCCATTGTAGAAGACATACACTAGTATACAAATAACTAGTCTATATCAATTCTCATGAAATTGCTACCAATAAAATCGACCGAACATAACTCGGACGGTAGGTACTAACCAGAAATCAGAGGAACAGAATCCCCGAGCTGGCTCAGGCATTCTTACCTCTTGTCCACTTGTTACAAGAAAAATTCAGGTCGATGAACCATGCAAAGGACGCCCAGTGGTCCCCAATGCGCCTGATCACAAGGCGTACCGTTGAAGCATCGCTTTGCGATCACTGCGCGTGCTTCCGCCACGAGGCCCTTCCTCGTCCTCCTCGGCATTCACCTCAGCCAGCCAACCAGATGAGCGCTGTTTCTGGCATTGCCACGGGAGAGCATTTCGTCCCGAAGCTCGCAGCTCAGCTGAGGCGCTGATCGGTGCACCTGTGTCCCACCCTGCCCTCGCCGCTAGGCACCTCACCTCACTAGCGGGGCCCCCGGCCCAGGCGCCTCGAGCGCGCCCCGTCTCCGTATGCCGCCACCTCCCACCGGTCATCGTCGGCGCCGGCACAAACACCATACCAGGCAAGAACACTAGCTGTTTATTACTGAGATAAAAATGACACGACAGCTGGAATAAATAGCAATCCACGCGCTCAGAGCCAGCCGTTCGCGCACTGCAGCTATCCCATTGGTCATCGCTAGCACACTCGTTCGCTCACAGGAAGAGGCGGAGAAACAGACGGAGACAGACAGAGAGAGAGAGAGGCGGAGACAGGGGGAGACAGAGACAGAGCGCGGGACGACAACCCAGGCAGGGCGTGGGGAAAAGAATCGATCACGTGCACACGTCATAGAGAACAAACAAAACAGCTCGGTTGTGTGTGGGGGCGGGGCGGGGCCGATGGCACCCTGAGCGCTGCCGACGGCCGGCGGGCGGACGGGCCGCCCCGACGGCGGCGCGGCGCGGCGCGGCGGCGGCAGCGGCGGCGGCGGCGGGTGAGGGTGATAAAAACACACACCGGCGGCGGGGCGCGCGGCCTCGGGCGGCCGGCGTGTTTTGATTGGTTGACACGGCTCGCGGCGCCGCCGCACTGTGCTGTTCGGTCGGGCCGCGGCGCGGCTCGCTCTCGCGCTAGACTTTGTACACTGGCGGCCGGTCGGCGGCGTCGGCTGGCTGCCGCGCCAGTCACATGCTCACCGCCAGGCGGCGCCAGGGCTTGCGGGCGGCGCGCCGCAGCTCGGGCGGCGTCAGGCGGCGCCGCATCCGCCTGCCGGTGGAGGCCCGTCAGCGAGGCGCGCGGCTCGTGCGCCACCGCCACGGCACGGCCGTCGCTACCGAGGCCGTGCTGGCGAAATGACGGCCAGGCATCATGTCAACCACTCCAAAAGTCCATGGCTCAGCCCGTTAACAGAGACGCGATTACACACAGCCTTTCAACAGAAAGTTATCAATGGGAGTCCCCAGCGAATCACAAGCGAGCAAAGGCTAATTGTTGGTACCACACGGCCTGGACAACATCGGGCTGTAGTCATCACAAGGTGACCAATAGCAAGATTTAAAGGAAATATTCAATATTTAAAGATAACGAAATGAGCATCACATATGATGAAATAAGCTAACCTTATAACTCCCGGTACATTCTGAAGTGGAAGACTGCTATAGACAACACAATTTCTATGTTTAGCAAATACGCTCCTTAATACCTCATTGTTTGATCACGTCATCGCACCTTGCACAGCGTCACCTGAGAGCCAATTGACGGCCGTCAGATCTGGAGATCGTGCTCACGAACGCCAGATATGAACAACTCGCCAATCATATTTCTATCAGGCCTTCACCACCGCATGGCTAATGGAATGGTAAGATCTGAATGACTTCATCATGGCATTATGGATGCCTGTATGACCTTGATATAGTCTTCCCAAAATGGTCTGTAATCTTCGCAGGCGTGTAGCTCAGAAAATCGAGGGGTTTAGATCTTAAGAACGGCAGGGCTGTTAAATGCACAGAATGATCTTCAAGATGGCTACTCCATCTCAAAACCCCATACAAATGTGGAACATCTCTTTAACAATCATGGTACGGGTCATGCCGACCAATATGCACAAACTGCCATAACACTGGCCCGATTGGGCACGTCATTTGCCCATCTGCAGTACAAGTTTACCGACTAGAACAGCACTTCAGCGTTGTCTTGTCCCAGCCAGCGTATTTCTGTTTTGCTGCTGAACCACTTCCCTTGACTCACGACAGCAGGAGAAAAGGTGCTTTTCACGTGGAGGAAAAACACTCGCTTGTTGTGTGGGGGCCACTCTTGACTCCCAAAAAGGCAGTGCACCAATTCTCACACTGTCACTCACGGCTACGAACACAGCACACACAGATCTGTCTCTGGCCACCGCTCAGGGCTTCGACACCGCCACCTTGACCCTGGCCGGAACAGCTGGAGCAAGCCCCGGCTGACCGGAATACAAAAATGTCAACCCGTCCATGCCCATAGGCCCTCACCCCTAACGGCAAAAGTTCCTCTGCATGAGTGGATACGTTGCCTTCACCCCAGCGCGGCGAGGCGTGCGCATGCAAAACTAGAGCCCACACCCCACTTATCAATCCGCAGCCTTCGCAGCCTCCACCCATCATAGCCCAGCACTTGCTGACACACTGGTTCTGGCCCACTGCCCCCCCCCCCCCCCCGTCCCCAGTCACACAGGTCTTACTTTGTGTTGGCGTTAGCCACGTGGAACACGTCGTCAGGCGCGTCGGCCAGCGAGATAACCTTCTGGCGTCCGCCGCCCAGCCGGGTGACGGTGGCGATCTTGGCGCGGCCGCCGCCGTTCACGTGGTTACCGGAGCGGGGCGCCGCCGGCTGGCGACACGAGCCCGGCGCGGTCACAGCCACGGCCACGGTCACGGTCACGGCCAAGGTCACGGTCACGGTCACGGTCACGGTCACGGTCACGGTCACGGTCACGGCCACGGTCACGGCCACGGCCACGGTCACGGTCCCGTCCCGTCCCGCGGCACCCGGGGGCGCACATCACACCCCATCGCCTCGCCTAGTGCGGCTCCACTGCCGGCTCAGACGGCGCCGGAAACGGCAGCGCAACGGACAGGGGACATCCGCCAGCTGATCTCTCCGAGCACATACACGTCGTGAGCAACACAAGCGATCCATGTCATCGCGCGAACGGGCGTGGCGGCTGTGGCCGGTCTGTTCTGCCTCCGACCTGCTGTGACCCACCGATCTCTGCCAGTGCCATATGACCGACGTAGTCGGTGCGCCCCAAGGCCCAAATAATAATAATAATCATCATCA